AAGCTGAGCCCGGAAGGAAGAAGAATGGTGTAAGCAAGAACCACGCCTAGAGTTGATGGTGGCTGCGTGGTGAGTTTATGCAAACACTGATTGTAAATAAACAATAATGAGTAACGTGGGAGGAGCTAAGATGCTGGAGAAACGCCCACAGCTGAGGTAGCAGGAGCTGGGCAGGGGAAGGAGCTGTCCCAGCTCCCTGCACGACTCTCAGCAGAGGAGGAAGAGAGGGCCATCACGTGTAGACAATGTTTTGTTTAAAAATACACATGAAATGTATAAGGTTGCTGCTTAAAATGGGAATAGAGTATATAACTTCTAAGTCAGTCAAAGCAAAGCAAAACAAAAACAAAAACAAAAGCTTCATAACTCCATCTGGCCGGGCGCGATGGCTCACGCCTGTAATCCCAGCACTTTGGGAGGCCGAGGCGGGCAGATCACAAGGTCAGGAGATCGAGACCACGGTGAAACCCCGTCTCTACTAAAAATACAAAAAATAAGCCGGGCGTGGTGGCGGGCGCCTGTCGTCCCAGCTATTCCGGAGGCTGAGGCAGGAGAATGGCGTAAACCCAGGAGGCGGAGCTTGCAGTGAGCCGAAATCGCACCACTGCACTCTAGCCTGGGAGACAGAGTGAGACTCCGTCTCAAAAAAAAATAAAAAAAATAAAAAAATTTAAAAATTAAAAAACTCCATCTAAGAGGGGAAGGAATCTCTACCACAGGACGGTGAAATGCACAGGGTGGCAGGGAGCAGCCCACATATGTCAGAAATCACAGCAAACCCCAGGGGCTGGCCGGGCGCGGTGGCTCAAGCCTGTAATCCCAGCACTTTGGGAGGCCGAGGCGGGTGGATCACGAGGTCAGGAGATCGAGACTATCCTGGCTAACATGGTGAAACCCCGTCTCTACTAAAAATACAAAAAAAACCTAGCCGGGCGTGGTGGCGGGCGCCTGTAGTCCCAGCTACTTGGGAGGCTGAGGCGGGAGAATGGCGTGAACCCGGGAGGCGGAGCTTGCAGTGAGCCGAGATCACGCCACTGCACTCCAGCCTGGGAGACACAGCGAGACTCCGTCTCAAAAAAAAAAAAAAAAAAAAAAAAAAAAAAAAAAAAACCCAGGGGCTTAGCGCATCAGGTAAAGGACAGAGACTCCAAAATATGGGAGCTTTTAAAGCAGCCCCACAGTAGTCACAAGACACAGCCCTCACCTGAAAGCATGAAGAAAGGCTGAAAGCAGCTGGATGAAAATGACTGCAGAAAAGGGAGGGAGGGAGGGAAGGAGGGAGAGACAGGAATCCCGGATGGCAGCGACTCCCTATCCCACGCCTCCTGGCCTGACCCCACGTCCAGCAGACAGTCACGCACCCCGACACTCACAATGTTGAGAAAGTACAAAAAGAACAATGGAGAAAATAAAGATATGAGCAGAACTAAATAAAAATGTTTAACACATACAACAAAGAGAATCAACAATACCAAAATCTGGTCTTTTAAAAGACAAAAAAAATCAACAATATTTAGCAAAACTGATGAGAAAAAAAAAGGGTTGGGCAGGAGAACAAGCATGTATAACATGAAGCAGGGATGAAAAATGGCAAATAGGCTGGGCACAGTGGCTCACGCCTGTAATCCCAGCACTTTGGGAGGCCGAGGTAGGTGGATCACCTGAGGTCAGGAGTTCGAGACCAGCCTGACCAACATGGCAAAACCCTTTCTCCACTAAAAATACAAAATTAGCCAGGCAAGGTGGCAGGTGTCTATAATCCCAGCTACTCGGGAGGCTGAGGCAGGAGAATCGCTTGAACCCGGGAGGCAGAGGTTGCAGTGAGCCGAGATCACATCACTATACTCCAGCCTGGGTGACAGAGCTAGACTCTGTCAAAAAAAAAGAAAGAAAGAAAAGAAAGCAAATAATGACAAATTTAGCAGTTATTAAAAATAACAAACAGGCTACTAAGCCGGGCGTGGTGGCACACGGTAGGGATTTGTAGTAGTCAAATGTATTAATTTGTAGTAGTCCCAGCTACTTCAGAGGTCGAGGACCGCTTGAGGCTAGAAGTGAGTTCAAGACTGCAGTGACCTATGACGCTGCCTGTGAATGGCCACTGCACCCCAGCCTGGACAACATAGCAAGATCCCATCTCCAAAAACAGAGGCGACTATGAAAAGTACATCCCAATACATTTGAAAAACTTAAAATAAATGACATCTATGTTAAGAAGAAACAGAAGGCCAGGTGCTGTGGCTCTCACCTGTAATCCCAGTACCTTGGGAGGCCGAGGTGGGCAGATCACCTGAGGTCAGGAGTTCAAGACCAGCCTGGCCAACACGGTGAAACCCTGTCTCTACTAAAAATACAAAAATTAGCTGGGCATGATGGCATGTGCCTGTAATCCCAGTTACTTGGGAGACTGAAGCAGGAGAATCACTCAAACCAGAGAGGTGGAGGTTGCAGTGAGCTGAGATCACGCCACTGCACTCCAGCCTGGCAACAGAGCAAGACTCCATAAAAAAAAAAAAAAAAAAAATAAAAAAATCCAGAAAATTCAAAGAACTTCGGACACCAATAAAAATAATAATGATCTCGGCCAGGCACGGTGGCTCTCGCCTGTAATCCCAGCACTTTGGGAGGCCGAGCCAGGTGGATCACCTGAGGTCAGGAGTTTGAGACCAGCCTGGCCAACATGGTGAAACCTCGTCTCTACTAAAAATACAAAAATTAGCTGGGCGTGGTAGCACATGTCCGTAATACTAGCTACTTGGGAGGCTGAGGCAGAAGAATTGCTTAAGCCTGAAAGGCGGAGGTTGCAGTGAGCCAAAATCACACCACAGCACTACAGCCTGGGAGACAGAGCAAAACTCTCCATCTCAAAATTTAATAATAATGATAATAACAACTACCTCAATTTTGTAAAGTGGGCCAAGGACATGAAATAACGAGACTCTAACGCCGGGTGACCATATGGAAAGAGGGACGGCATCGCTAGTAACCAGGAAGAGGGAGGATTAACCACAGTGACACACCCACATTAAGGGTGTAAGTTGACAGTTGCAAGTTTGGGTGGGGGCGCCGGGAAACAGGAGCTCTCTGGCAATGCTGGTTGGATAGCACCTGGCTGGGAGGACCCCTTGGGAGGACAGCTTGGTCACAAGAACCTTCTAACTTTCGGGCACCCACACCCGCAGGAGGCGCTTTGGGCAAGAAAGTTGCAGTTTGTTTGAAATAGCAACAAAAAGGAAACAAAATGTCCATCAACAAGTAAATAGGTAAGTAAATGTATATTTGGAGATGGGAGAAAATGAACTAGAACCACATGTATCCCCTAGAGAAAATCTCTTCAGCCTAGCACCTATTTTTTTCAAAAGCAATTTACAGAAAGAGAAATACAGCATGATACCCATTACATAAAGTCTTCAGCATGTAAAACTTTTTTTTGTGTGTGTGTGTGTGAGATACTGTCTTGGTGTGTCACCCAGGCTGGAGTGCAATGGTGCGATCTCAGCTCACTGCAACCACTGCCTCCCAGGTTCAAGCGATAATCCTGCCTCAGCCTCCCGAATAGCTGGGATTACAGGCACATGCCACCATATGTGGCTAATTTTTGTATTTTTAGTAAAGACGAGATTTCACCATGTTGGTGAGGCTGGTCTCGAACTCCTGGACTCAATTGATCCGCCCACCTCAGCCTCCCAAAGTGCTGAAATTACAGGCGTGAGCCACCGCGCCTGGCCACAAAACATTTTTAAAGGAACATACATATTCAGTAGGAGTGTGAGAACCTTCATGAGAGTGGTAAATTCCAAATTCAAGAAATTAGGGTGGGACAGAAATAATATGGAGAGATGGATGAACAGAGACTTCATTTATTTATGCCATTTTTCCCAAGTTGAGTGGGTTTATTCTTACATTTTTTAAATATATTACTGTTTATACCATCTGTTCAACTAAAATAGATGACTTTCTTTTTTTTTTTTTTTGAGACAGAGTCCCGCTCTGTTGTCCAGGCTAAAGTGCAGTGGTGTGATCTCTGCTCACTGCAACCTTACCTCCTGGGTTCAAGCGATTCTCCTGCCACAGCCTCCCAAGTAGCTGGAGTTACAAGCATGCACCACCACGCCTGGTTAATTTTTGTATTTTTAGTAGAGGTGGGGTTTTGCCATGTTGGGCAGGCTGGTCTCTTTTTTTTTTTTTTTTGAGACAGAGTCTCGCTCTGTCACCCAGGTTGGAGTGCAGTGGCTGGATCTCAGCTCACTGCAAGCTCCGCCTCCCGGGTTCACGCCATTCTCCTGCCTCAGCCTCCTGAGTAGCTGGGACTACAGGCGCCCGCCACCTCGCCCGGCTAGTTTTTTTTTTTTTTTTTTTTTTTTTTGTATTTTTTAGTAGAGACGGGGTTTCACCGTGTTAGCCAGGATGGTCTCGATCTTCTGACCTCGTGATCCACCCGTCTCGGCCTCCCAAAGTGCTGGGATTACAGGCTTGAGCTACCGCGCCAGGCCGGGCAGGCTGGTCTCGAACTCCTGACCTCAAGTGATCTGCCTGCCTCGGCCTCCCAAAGCGCTGGGATTACAGATGTGAGCCACCACACCCCGTTAATTTGTGTGTTTTTAGTAGACATGAGATTTCACCATTTTGGCCAGGTTGGTCTCCAACCCCTGACCTCAAGTGATCCACCTGCCTAGGCCTCCCAAAGTGCTGAGATTACAGATGTGAGCCACCACGCCCGGCCTAAAATAGATGCTTTTGTAAATCTGATGTGACAGGGAGAGGTTAGACCCTTGGGGGCCTCCCTTAAGTCTGGACACAGATTCAGCAAGAGAGCTGAGGCCCGCTGAGCAGCCCATACACCAAGAGGCAGATTTCTAGGGGAAACAAGAAAAAGGGGCCCTAAAAATGGTACAAACAGGAACCAGGAAGTGACCATGTGCCCAGCCTCACACGTGACCCTGGGCAGGGATCTAAAGAGCCCAGGCTCAGGGAGCTCCACACCTGCACCTCCCTCTCACCTGCTCCTCTGCCTGCTCCACCCTCAATCCACCAGAACCATGGGCTGCTGTGGCTGCTCTGGAGGCTGCGGCTCCGGCTGTGGGGGCTGTGGCTCCGGCTGTGGGGGCTGTGGCTCCAGCTGTTGTGTGCCCGTCTGCTGCTGCAAGCCTGTGTGTTGCTGTGTCCCAGCCTATTCCTGCTCCAGCTGTGGCTCTTGTGGGGGTTCTAAGGGAGGCTGTGGGCCATCCTGCTCCCAGTCCAGTTGCTGTAAGCCCTGCTGCTCCTCAGGCTGTGGGTCATCCTGCTGCCAGTCCAGCTGCTGCAAGCCATGCTGCTCCCAGTCCAGCTGCTGTGTCCCCGTGTGCTGCCAGTGCAAGATCTGATTTCGGTTTTGCAGGACTCTTACCATGGCCATTCCTGGTCAGGAGCCAGGGGTTCCTGCCCAGCCTTTACCTCCTTTTCCTGGCACCCAGTGAGCCAGACTCTCCTTCCCCACCTGCTGCCCTATCTCCCACCCTCCTGCCTTGCCAAGCATGAACACTTCTCTTTGACCTTCTACCAAGAAATGCCATGGGCCTCTGCATCCAAGAAGAATGACTTTCAAGGCCTCTCTTCCAGGCATCTAGAGACCAGCCCCTCCCTCCCCCCACCCGACACCTGCAGCAAATGCCTGTCCCCAAGCCCTGCCTGCTGGCACCGCATCCAGCACGGACATCCCTGCAGGACAACTCAGGGTGCTTGCTCACTCTGCAGTCACTAGGAGTTCAGATCTCTGTCCTTTAAACATCCAATAAACTGCTCAACCCAGCACCCCGTAGCTGTCTTGGTATATTTATCTGTTTATTTCCCTCTCGAGAAAGGTGGGGGGCATCTGTGGCTGCACTGGGTCCCCTGGGAACCATACACACCTGCCCTGAACCAGACTGGAGCTGCAAGTGGGTGCCCTGGCCAGCAGGGATCCTGGACACATGGTGGTGGTCAGAGGCAGGAGCACCAGCAGCCACCTGGCTCAGTCCCTCGCCATGCAGCCTCTACCACACCCTCCCAGCATCTGGCTCAGGGCAGGGGTGCCTTGCCTTGATCAGGCAAAAGCAATCACTGGGGGGTCATCATGGCCTGTTACCATGTGATCTTATTCTCTTTGGGCTGATGTAACAGAACACCATGGACTGGCATGTACAACAGAAGTGTATTTATTTCTCAGGGTTCTGGAAGCTGGCAGTCTGAATTAAAGATACTGGCAGCCGGGTGCGGTGGCTCATGCCTGTAATTCCAGCACTTTGGGAGGCTGAGGCGGGTGGATCACGAGGTCAGAAGATCAAGACCATTCTGGCTCACACGGTGAAACCTCGTCTCTATTGAAAACACAAAAAATTAGCCAGGTATGGTGGTGGGTGCCTGTGGTCCCAGCTACTCAGGAGGCTGAGGCAGGAGAATGGTGTGAACCCGGGAGGCGGAGGCTGCAGTGAGCTGAGATCATGCCACTGCACTCCAGGCTGGGCTACAGAGCGAGATTCCGTCTCAAAAAAAAGAAAAAGAAAAAGAAAAAAGAAGCCAGAAGAATGTAAATATGACATTCCAGAGGGGATGTATATGGAAGCAACCAGAGAAGGCCACATTAATTACAGAACTCAGATGGTAAAATTAAATAAATAAATAAATAACTTCAGGAAATCCTACCGTATGTATCTTACCACAGTTTTTTGTTGTGTTTTGTTTTTTTGACATGGAGTCTCACTGACTCTGTTGCCCAGGCTGGAGTGCAGTGGCACGATCTCCGCTCATTGCAACCTCTGCCTCCTGGGTTCAAGCTATTCTCCTGCCTCAGCCTACTGAGTCGCTGGGATTACAGGCATGAGCCACCACACCCAGCTAATTTTGTTTTGTTTTGTTTTGTTTTTTGCTTGTATTTTCAGGAGAGACGGGGTTTCACCACGTTGGCCAGGCTGGTCTCAAACTCCTGATCTCAAGTGATCTGCCTGCCTCACCCTCCCAAACTGCTGGGATTATAGGCATAAGCCACAGCGTCCGGCCCACAATTTTTAAATACTGGAAAAATGTATCTATAAAAAAGACATTGGAGAACTGTAGAAGCAACAAGAACCAGATGAAAACATTCAGAGAGAACCCTTCCAAGATGAACTGAATGTCAGCTTTTCTCCCTTTAGGGAATTAACCAGTGCTGAGTATGAGCTGAGCCTCGATCCGACTGGGGAAGAGGAATTCTACTGGGAGAAATACCCAGCAGGGCTCTTGGCAATCACAGGGGCTGGGGTAGAAAACTGGGACATTTGCACATTTCTGGGGAGGCTAGGAAGTGAGGTCTGAGGCCTCCGCAGGTGCACTGAAGTCTTGTGTAGCCTTGTGGAGCTTAGAACACAAAGCTTTTCTAGAGGAAGGGGTCTTGCCTCAGGCACAGGTTAATCTGGCCCTTAAGACATTTTCCAGATTTTGAAGCTGCCTGAGCAGACCACTAAAGAGCTAAGCCTGCAATAGCTCAGGGGAAGAAGTGGTTCTCTGACAGCCGCTCAGGGACGAGAAGACACAGACTGGCCAGACTCTTAACCAAAACTCCAGGAGAGACACAGAGGGACGAGTGACTGCAGTGGCCCAATTCCTAACCAGGTGGGTAGACGAAATGTTCAGCTCCTCTCCCTGTCTGCACTAGAGAGGGGGGCCACCCACTCGCTGTTGGAAGAGAGCAGCTAGACCCCCATGGTCCTTAGATACAGACTCCCCCAGTCCTTAGATATAGACCCCCACAGTCCCCAGATATAGACCTCCACAGTCCTGAGATATAGACCCCCAGGGCCCTGAGATACAGACCCCCACGGTCCTGAGATATAGACCCCCACAGTTTTGAGATACACACCCCCACGGTCCTGAGATATAGACCCCCATGGTCCGCTGAGGCATACCTCTGACAGTCAGGAAGCACAAGATATAGACCCCCATGGTCCTTAGATATAGACCCTGACGGTCCTTAGATAGACCCCCACAGTCCTTAGATATAGACCCCCACGGTCCTTAGATACAGACCCCCACGGTCCCAGATATAGACCCCCACGGTCCTGAGATATAGACCCCCATGGTCCTTAGATATAGACCCCCACAGTCCTGAGACACAGACCCCCACGGTCTCTAGATATAGACCCCCATGGTCCTGAGATATAGACCCCCACGGTCCTTAGATATAGACCCCCATGGTCCCTAGATATAGATCCCCCCACAGTCCTTAGATATAGACCCCAACAGTCCTTTGAGGCATACCTCTGACAGTCAGAGAGCACGAGATACAGGACACAGCAGGAAACGGTGATCAATAACCATGCAAAAAGCTAACAGTCGAGGCAGAATACATATAAGCCACATATTGGAGTTAGGAAACAAGGGCTTTAAAATAACTATGTTTGGGCCAGGCATGGTGGCTCACACTTGTAATCCCAGCACTTTGGGAGGCCAAGGAGGGCGGAAAACCTGAGGTCAGGAGTTCGAGACCACACTGGCCAACATGGTGAAACCCTGTTTGTATTAAAAATATAAAAAGTAGCCAAGGGCTGAGCGCAGTGGCTCACGCCTATAATCCCAGCACTTTGGGAGGCCGAGGCAGGCAGATCACGAGGCCAGGAGATCGAGACCAGCCTGGCCAACATGGTAAAACCCCATCTCAACTAAAAATACAAAATATTAGCCGAGTGTGGTGGCAGGCGCCTGCAGTCCCAGCTACTCAGGAGGGTGAGGCAGGAGAATCGCTTGAACGCGGGAGGTGGAGGTTGCAGTGAGCCGAGATCGTGCCACTGCACTCCAGTCTGGGCAACAAGAGTAAGACTCCATCTCAAAAAAAAAAAAAAAAAAAAAAAGTAGCTGGGCATGGTGGCGGGCACCTGTAATCCCAGGTACTCAGGAGGCTGAGACAGAAGAATTGCTTGAACCTGGGAGGCAGAGGTTGCAGTCAGCCGAGATCGCACCACTGCACTCCAGCCTGGGCAACAGAGCAAGACTCTGTCTCCAAATAAATAAATAAATAAATAAAATATTTAATGTCCCGTAAAATTTTTTAACTTTGTGGAAGTAAAATGTATGACAACAGCACGGAAGTCAGGAAAGGGATACACAGAATTAAATAGTTGTAAGGTTCTTTCCTTGTTTACAAAGACACGAGATTGTTAACTGATAACATGTTATCGTAAGTGAAGATATAAGGCATAATCTCTGGATGGGTACAGAAGCTCACGCCTGTAGTCCCAGCACTTTGGGAGGCCAAGACAGATGGATTGCTCAAGACCAGGAGTTCAAAACCAGCCTGGGCAACATGGCGAAACCCCGTCTCTACCAAAAATACAGAAATGAGTAGGGTGCGTTGGCAGGTGCCTATAGTCCTAGCTACTCAGGAGGCTAAGGGGGGAGGATCACCTGAGCCTGGGAGGTCGAGTCTGCAGTGAGCTGTGATTGTGCCACTGCACTCCAGCTTGGATAACAGAGTGAGACCCCATCTCAAATAAATAAATAAATAAATAAATAAATAAATAAATAAAACCATCTCTAAGGTAGCCATTAAAGGATAATGAATACATAACCCGGAAGCTAACAGAAGACAGAAATAAGGCCAGGCATGGTGGCTCATGCCTGTAATCCCAGCACTTTGGGAGGCCAAGGCAGGCTGATCCCTTGAGGTCAGGAGTTCGAGATCAGCCTGGCCAACAGGCTAAAACCTCATCTCTACTAAAAATACAAAAAAATTAGCTAGGTGTGGTGGCACGTGCCCATAATTCCAGCTACTCTGGAGGCTGAGGCACAAGAATTGCTTGAATCTGGGAGGCGGAGGTTGCAGTGAGTCGAGATCGTGCCATTGCACTCCAGCCTGGGTGACGGAGTGAGACTCTGTCTCAAAAAAAATCAAAAAGGAAAAAAAAAAAAGAAGAAAACAGAGACAAGTTAAATAAAATGCATGCTGTTTAGAAAAAACAAACCCTAAATATCAAGATCCAGGAAGACAGAAAGCAAAAGAATTTTTAAAAAAAGATATATGAGACAAACATTAATGTTTTCAGAAACCTGGTATAATGATAGTAAGATCAGACAATGTGGACTTTGAAACAAAACTATTATTAGAGATAACATTTCATGATGACAGGAGAGTTCCTGCAACCAAACGGAAAACAATCCTGAACTTCCATGTGCCAAATAACAGAGCTTTAAAACATATAAAGCAAACATCGACGAAACTACAAGAAGAAATAGATAAATTCACAAATACAACTGGGACCATAATTGGGAATGTATAGGAATAACTGGGAATTTTAATGAATCTCTCTCTCTCACTGATATAACAAGGAGATAAAACAAGTCAGTCAAGGTATGGAAGATCTGAACATCATGATTAACCAGCTTGACCTAACTCACATATATTAAAATCTTACAGAGTAAGGGCCTTGACATAGCGGAATCAAATTATTATTAGTAAGCAATAAGAGAAAGAAATGTTTTTAAAATCTCCAAATGTGAGAAAATTAAGTCCTAGACTTCTAAATAACTCCTAAGTTGAACAAGAAATGATAGCAGAAATTTTTGAGTACAGGTCCAGTGGCTCATGCCTATAATTTCAGCTCTTTGGGAAGCCAAGGCAGGAGGATTGCTTGAGGCAGGACTGCATCTCTACAAAAAATAAAAGTAAAAGCCCTGGTGCGGTGGCTCACGCCTGTAATCCCAGCACTTTGGGAGGCCGAGGCGGGTGGATCAACTGAGGTCAGAAGTTCAAGGCCAGCCTGGTCAACATGGTGAAACCCTGTCTCTACTAAAAATATAAAATTACCCAGGTGTGGTGGCAGGTGCCTGTAGTCCCAGCTACTTGGGAGGCTGAGACAGGAGAATCACTTGAACCCAGGAGGCGGAGGTTGCAGTGAGTTGAGATCACGCCCCTGCACTCCAACCTGGGCAACAGAATGAGACTCCACCTCAAAAAAAAAAAAAAGAAAAAAAAAGAAAGAAAGAAAGAAAGAAAATATATTTTCCAAACATTTCATGAGCAAATGTAAAAATCTAAGAAAATTCAGCAAATATATCATGACCAGGGATGAAAGATTGATGGCACATTCAAAATCCAATCCATGCAAGTTACCGACTCACAGAACAAAGGAGGGAAAATGCATGCCCATCTCAGTAAATGGAGGAAAAGCACTTCAAAAACCAACGAGTCAGTACAAAACAGAAACAGAAATACAGCTGAGCTAACATCACGTGCTGCAGAGCTCCCTGACAGCCCGTAAAGAATGCCCCCACCGGCCGGGCGCTGTGGCTCATGCCTGTAATCCCAGCACTTTGGGAGACTGAGGCAGGAGAATC